AGGAATGACCTCTAGACATCTCCATTGTCCAGTGTGGGAAGTTGTGTGTTCTGCCATTCCCACAACCCTAGGGCAAGAACCCCTCCCCCACCAGTGAGGTAAGTAAGAGGCTATCAAAATGATGAAGGCCTCTGTCACAACAACTCAACTGTGTCCTTGGAGAGTAAAACCACCAAAGAGCCCTAGCCGGTTTGGCTCAGTGGATAGAGCATCGGCCTGTGGAGCAAAGGGTCCCGGGTTCAATTCTGATCAAGGGCACATACCTTGGTTGCAGGCTCCTCCCTGGCCCAGGCCCTGGTCAGGGCTCATGCAGGAGACAACCAATCAATGTGTTTCTCTCACATTGATGTTTCTCTCTGCCTTTCCCTCTCTCTTCCACTCTCCCTAAAAATCAATGAAAAAATATCCTCGGGAGAGGATTAACAAACAAACAAAAAAACCCACAAAAACAAACAAACAAAAAAAACCCAACCCCACCATGGACAATATGGCAAGCAGGGAGCTCCAATGTACTGCATTTATAGAAACAGGCAGGGGCTGGATTTGAACCAGTGGGCTGTAGGCACCTGGCCTACAGCTCCTGGGCAAGGTTACAGCTGAATACCTCAACTGATTCAACAGCCTACAGCTGGCATTTTAAACCACGGGCTGTTGCGATGGCCTAGGCAGGGGTGCAGAGAAGAGGCTAAAACTGGCTTCCAGCCTTAGGGGTCGGGCAGAGGAGGGGCAGGTAACCATAGGGGCCAGTGAGGTGGGAGAGCACTGGAGAGTGGGTGTGGGGAAGAGGGCCTGGTGGGGTGCAGTGTTTGGGGAGGCATGCACTCCCAGGCTCCCAGTGTCTCTGACTCAGTTGGCTGGGGTGGTGTTGCAGGTTGGGTTGTGTCTCCCAAAAAGATATGTTGAAGTCCTAACCCAGGACTGTGAATGTGTCCTCATTTGGAAATAGGATCTTCATACATGGATTTGGGTGAGCGTCCATCCAATGACTGGTATCCTTATAAAAAGAGGGAAATGTGAACACAGGCACACACACACACAGGGAAAACGGCCATGCGGTGACAGCAGAGGCTGCCAGAAGCCAAGGCGCCAAGGAATGCTGGCTACCACCGGGAGCTGGAAGGGGCAAGGATGCTCCCTAGAGACCTCAGAGGAGAGTGGTTCTGCCCACACGTGGATGCCAGAATACGTTCGTTTCTGTTGTTTGGAGCCATCCATGTTTGAGGTGATTTGTTCCAGCAAGCACAGGGAACTAACACAGCTGTATTTCGGACATTTTCCAGCTGCTCATCCACCGGAAACCCTGGTGCTTTGAGAACCAGAGGTTTCTATACCTGCAGGGGTCCATCTGTTGCCACAGGGAGACCATGAGAATTGCTGCAATATTTCAAGGGCCTGAGTCTAAGACTAAAATGAGTGTGTAGAGTTAGAGAAACACAGGCTGGTGCTGGGGATGGTGGGACGGTGGGCCCAGCACCTGCCTAGTCATAGGAGGGAATGAAGGAGGAGTTGCTTTCCCTACCAGCAACCTATGACCTCTCACCCCTCAAAGAGTATCACGCACTTCATCCAAGGGAGGGAGACGAGGCAAGAGCCCCATTCCAATGGGGTTTGGCCAAGAAGGAGGTCAAGGTTCCACCTTTCAGTGACCACTCACGACAGTTAGCAGGTAAAAGCTGGTCCCTTTCCAGGGGTAGCTCAGAGACAGGGGGTGAAGGGGCAATGGGGTGACTCGGGGCTCCCATTCATGCGACTCCTTTGCCCAGGAGTGAGGACATCTTGCAACCTTTTTCACAGCCAGGGGACAACCTCCTCACCACAGTCCAGGTCCCTGATCCCTCCTGTCTCTGGTGGCCCGGAGAGCGGCCCGATCCAGCTTCCCAATTAGGCTCTTGCACTAATAAAGCTTTTTTGTTCATTAAGAGTTCATGAAAATTTGAAATCATATTTTTACAGAGAACTGACTTCTCGATTTTCTTGTTTTTAAATAACGTTTTTGAAGTACTAACGTAGATTTGAGCTTGAGTCGTGTTTTTTATTGTGTTGTATTGTGTTGTGTTGTGCTGTACTGTGTTGTACTATATTGTATAGTTTTTAGGGAAAGTTAAGGGAAGAGCAGTGCTCTGTGAGGCCTGTGATCTGGTGACTTTGCTGCAGGGACAGTGTGACCGGGATGGGATGCTGCAGGCAGCTGACAACTTACCTGAACAATTTGTACATCACAGTTTGTCTTGTCAGCAGGCTGGAGGCTTCCAGGCCACTTTTAATGTCCCCACTGCTGGAAGCCAGCCCAGTCACCATCAAAGGAGACAGCAGGGGTGACCTGCTGGAGCCAGCGACCACATGAAGGGCCTCAGTGAGGGGCAAGGGCCACACCCAGAAGTCCTCGTCAAGGTGACCTTCTTGGCTGAGGAGCACAGACGCTGCTCTGGAGGCCCTCAGACGGAGTGCCCCCGGGACACACTTTAGGCCTCCCCTACCGCACCCCTAGGTTCCATGGGAAGGAACTTTGAGTTTCAAGGTTGTGCAGTATTAGTCAGGAAAATCAAGGAGACAGACCACCTGCCCCCTCCCCCACTCACTTCTCATGTCCCAGTTCTCAGACTTTTTGAATAGGTCTACCCTTTGTATGTTACCTTCCTATTTACTGTATTTCTACCCATCACATACACACATCATTTGTCCTTTCACAAACAACTAATGCCAGTATTTCTAATAACAATATTGACCTAGAACAAGGTTTCATTTAAAATTTGACCTCTTATTGAGGGCCTTCCTTAATCATTATAATTTTTGATAAGTGGGATCATGATTTTTAATGCATCAGACTTTAGATTTCCTAAATGCAGAATAGAACTTTCCAAATACATAGGAGCTCTTTGATTTTAGTCCCATCAAATACACATAAATGACAAACTGTGTGTGATTGTAATTTTTTTGGAGCTAAAAAGAAACAAAAAATAGTTTCTATAAATCAGGAGAAAATATAGAAGAAAAAATGTTAAGTTTGGGGTAGAAAAAAACTATCTTGTAACACAAAATGCAAATTTTTTAAAATTAGTTTAACAAGTTTGACTAAATCATAATTTAAAACTTTTATATGAGATATCTAAAAGATAAGTGATAAAATGGGAGAAAATAAACACAATATGTGTCAAAGAACTATGATCCAAAATTTGTAGCAAACTTCTACAAATCAGTAAAAATTACATCAGAAAATAAAATAAAGAAGAATTGAGAAACAGATACAAATAAGAAAATTTTATAACAGGAAATAAAAGTGGTCCAAAGACACATGAAAAGATGCTCAACTTTGCCACTAATTGGGGAAATGAAAATTAAAGGAAAATACAATTGTTTAACTATCGGATTGGCAAAAATTAGAAAGGTCTGCAAGTGTTGCTGCAGGTGAGAAATGACTCCTTTGTCCATTCCCAGCAAATCTCAGCAGCCTCAACACAGCAGAAGCTATTGAAATTACACTGCCTTCCCTTCCACCTGGCAGGTCCCACTTTTACACCCCTGACTTAGGAAAAGATTCACTTGAGTATACAAATAGGTCAGTTCAAGGCTCTTCCTCACTTGTAAGAGGTAAGAACCAAAAATACTGTAATAGTCCAACATGGAGAAATGGTTGAATGCACTGTGATGCACCTCTCCCAAGGAATACTACACAGCAATCAACAAGATTCATGGGACTAACATGCCCTCCCCAACACGGGTGAAAGAAACTGTACATGCAGGGGGATCTCACCTGTATAACACCTTGAGGGAAGGAAACATTGAGAACGTATTTCCAGAAGGATGCACAAGTAATTGGTCTCCGGGGCTGCCCCGGGGGAGGGTAAGTCACTTTCTCCCTGAGACCGTTTGGTTGATTTCTTTTGTGTTTTGAGAATTACTATTTTAGCTGTAAAAAAAAAAAATTAATTTTTAAATTCCTTAAAAAGCTTTCCAGAGTCATTCAACTAAAGAAAAGAAACTAAAGAACAACATTTCCATTGTACCATCGAGGTAAAAGACTACTCATAAAAACAAAACTATATTTTTGTTATGACTTATGTATGTAAATACTTGGAAACATGACTGAAGGATGCCGATCTATCAATGTGTAGCCTCAGAAGAGGTGGCCTGCAAAGGAATTATTTTAATGAATGATAAAGTATTCATTGGTAACTTAAAACATTTTTTAAATGTTATCTTTGAAAAGTAAAGTAAACGTTTGTCAGAAGAAGAAACTGCACATTTAATTTAATCAAAATAAGTAACATTAAAAATACTGGTATATTTCCCGAGCTGGTTTGGCTCAGTGGATAGAGTGTCGGCCTGCAGATTGAAGGATCCCAGGTTCAATTCCAGTCAAGGGCAGAGAAGGGGGCATGCAGGATGCAGCCAATCAATATTTCTCTCTCATCATTGATGTTTCTATCTCTCTCTCCCTCTCCCTTCCTTTCTGAAATCAATACTATGTAATAAAGAGGTAATATGCAAATTGACCATCACACCCTCACACAAGATGGCCTCCCCCATGTGGTCAAAGATGGCTGGCAGGGGAGGGCAGTTGGGGGCAACCAGGCCGGCAGGGGAGGGTAGTTGGGGGTGACCAGGCTGGCAGGGGAGGGCAGTTGGGCAGGGGAGCAGTTAGGCATCGATCAGGCTGGCAGGGGAATGGTTAGAGGGTGATCAGGCTGGCAGGCAGAAGCAGTTAGGGGCAATCAGGCAGGCAGGCAGGGGAGCGGTTGGGAGCCAGCAGTCCCGGATTGTGAGAGGGATGTCTGACTTCCAGTTTAGGGATCGGGCCTAAACCGGCAGTCGGACATCCCCCGAGGGGTCCCAGATTGGAGAGGGTGCAGGCTGGGCTGAGGAACATCCCCCACCCCTGCATGAATTTCATGCACCGGGCCTCCTCTAGTAAAAATATCTTTTTATAAAATACTGGTAAATTTCATTGTTTCATTTTCTAATTTATACACACTTAGGTTTATTCAAATATCACACTCTGGTACCATAAGAATGTTTATTTCATGAGTAATTTTTAATTCTATAACCACAATTTCCCCACATTTTTACATTATCACATTTTTTCCCTACACTTTTAAAACATTAAGTACAGAATTTAGAAGTTAAAAAGGAAAGGTACATTCTTTCTGCTGAATAATATATCATATTTAACTTAAAGATGATTAACCTTTTGGATATCAAAACCGAAGCTGCTGGGGTCACATTTATTTTGGGGTTCCAAAATAGCCCTGAGGTCTAAATAGGAAAATACCTCTTATAAACAAACAAAAACTCTCATTTCAAAATAAAACACTATGAAATTTACAGAATCACATCTAGACTCAACGTTTTTTACAATATCCAGAAACCTACCGGATTTTTAGAAATGACAACGAAGATAGCTTACATCCAGCAAACAGAGCTTATCCCAAGATGAAACAAAACTGGAAACCGGGCCCCTGCGCAGCCTGCTCACACACATCCACAGGCCCCAGGGAAGTCCCAGGCAGGACGATTCAAATGAAGAGAATTTCAATGAGATTGGCTTTTCCTGTTTCTATGAATGGGGTGTATTAGTCAAATTCCTCAGGATGTTCCAAAGGCTCCCAGACTTGCTGGTAACATTTCTGGGTGTATAGCTTCCCTTTATAGTTTTCATCAAATTCGACATTGCAGTGCAGTTCCAAACCAGCTTCTAGAACTTCTGCTCCCAAACTGGTGTTAAAGTGCTTCCATGTGCGCCCCCCCCCCCAAACTTCCTAACGCATCAGGTCAACACAGGCCACGCTCTACCCGCGATGGCGGCCTCGTTTTTGTTTCTCTTCTACATTTTCCTTAAAAACAATACAAAGGTATCACAGTCTGATGAACCGATTTCTCTCAAGCCCCAAATTATGTTACCTTTGATTAGAGCATCTAACACTGAGGCCAACTTCTTAGCACTTCTTCAGGGCAAAATGTGGATTCTATGTTAGCCTGGTGCCGAGTCTCAGGGGAGTCAGCCCCCACCCGGTGGCCACTCTCCAACCAGAGTCCTCTGAGGCAGGGTCCCTCCGTGCCAAGGATGTCAAAGACCCATACCGGCTGTGGAACCTCGCCAAGGAGCTCCTGTACTAGTCACCTGGGCAAAACCGCCTCTGAAAAGGAAGGCCTGTGTTATGACACATTGGCTGTTACACGTGTGTTGGCTGGAGTGCCCACAGTGGCCTTAGGCTGTCCGGTCCTCCTGAATACACACCGTCCAAGCAGGTCACCCCTGAGATTCCCCGGGAGCCAGAGTAAAGCCACAGCAGCAGTCACCTTTGTGAGCACAAAGCCAGGTCTCCTCTCAGGTCGTGTGTGTGCACGCATGTGTGTGTGTGTGCACTCACACCTTATCACACACTGTCCACTCCGGCACAGCTTGCTGCTGAGGGCTGTCATGGCACGACAGGGGCCACACCTGTCACATCGGCTTATTTCAGGCTGGGTCAGAGCGAGGAGGTTGTGTCCTGTACGCAGCACTGGCATTCGCCCGAGTCACTCAAAAATCAGCTCATCAATCCTGGTGGTTGTGGGGTTTCCTATTTCTTTCAAAAAATAACCTCCAGAGGAAGGTCTTCAGCCACTTATTTTAAATGTTAATGAAGAACCATGTGAATTCAAGGGCACCGAGGTGAGCACTGACTCAGCAGGTATACAGAACAGATGCCCAAATAAGTTTTAAAAGCGTGGAGGTGCACCTCGAGGAGAGAGAAACCTCAAGTTGGGAAGAGCCGTTCTTGTGTTTAGTGCTTGGTGGCAGCCGACAACTCTGCTGGATGGTTTTGTCATAAACGTGACTTGGTTGTCTTATAAGGGGTGACTGTGCTTGACCTTCCACCCTTCCTTCCCCAGATGACCCTGGCCCTCCCGGCAGCTGCTAACGCAAGCCCGCTGCAGGGGAAACTGAGGCCCAGGGCCAGGTGCAGAATCCAAACAGTTCCCCACCACGGAGCAGAGGGCCCCGAGCATGTCAGACCTTCCCAACACTGTAAACAAGACAAGGTGCTAGCGTTTTCGCATATAAAGGGCTGTGACTAGGAGCTTCCAGTCGTTTGTGATAAATCTTAATACTCCCGGGAACAACCGTGCTGTATGACGATGGAAACATGAGCGAGCGTGAGTCAGCAGGTGAGCCTGGGGGAAGAGGAACAGCTGACTAACAGCAGGGCTGCAGCTCATCCCACAGAGCAGGCTGAGCGGGTTCTGGAGAGAGGGCTTCTCTCTCCTGTAGTGTGGACGGCCAGGCAGTGCTCCTGCCAGAGGCTGCGGGGGCCCAATCACACCCACTCCTTAGTCGCGGCTCATTTATTTACGTCTCGGGGAGGTGTTTCTTCACAACTCGGTGCCCAGGATTCCTCCCCGGGGACAGCAGCTTCCCATCCATGCAGGGCCGGGGCCTGGCTCCACCTCCTGCGATTCAGTGTCAGACAGCAGCCTCGTCTCCACTCAGCCGCACAGCAGGACACCTGTTACCACGGCCAGCCAGCGGAGGCAGCCTGGAACGGCCCCTCTGAGCCACAAGTCCCACTTCCAAATGACATCACGAAATCTTAGCCTTTTCGGCACAATGAGCCTCGAGCCTTAGGAGGGCCCGCAGTTGAGATGACGAAGGGATTGTATCTCCCACCTTCATATTCCTGAGGTATCGCATGCTGCCCCTCGGGAGCCACGTCAAAAAAGGTAAAGGTCCCTAAGGTTCTGTGGGCGTCTCCCTCGTGCAGCCAAAGCCCTGGAAGGTGCTTGCGGCCTCTGAGCACCCAGTTTCCCCTGCTCCTCCCCGCTCTGGGCTGGGCGCTGGGCCGGCGGTAGCACACTCAATCACATGAGCACACAGGAGAGGGAGTCATTTCACACACACCCCAGTGTCAGATGGGGAGGAGCCAGGTCTAGAGGTCACAGTGATGAACGGTCCGTCTGTTATCACTGCCACCCCTGCTCCCACGGGTGAGTTTCCCTTTATACACACAAAGGGCCCATCCACAGAGGCCGCTGAGAGGCGCTGAAGTCACCCCATGTGCACCCCAGAGCCACAGGGGCAGCAGGGTCCGGGTTTCCAATAACCAGGAAGTCTCGACCGAGGGGCCATTCCCAGACATCTCCCTGGGAAACAGCAGCACTGACGTTGCCCTGGACACATTTCTTCTGTCTAGTTTAATTGTAATTCACACAAACACTACAAAGTATTAAAACATACTTCCACTTTGCCCCTACCTATGTTTATATATAAATCCCTGAGAAGGTACCTGTCAAGTTGAAATTTACTATTTATAGTTCATAAATATCCTGGTGCAAGCAGACACCAGACCCTCCCTCCCCTGTACATCGATGTGGGACGGGGGGTTGTCATCTGTCAGGAGAGAAACTTAGGGCTCCCTCCCTAAAAGCCGGGGGGGGGGGGGGATTCTAAACCACCTGCACAGAAGCTGGAAAAATCTGCCCTTGGTTCACTATTGTGTGTTTGGAGGTCATGACGTGATCACACCACAGGGACACCACACCGCCTCTCTGAATGGCCTTGCTTTCCTGCCCTGTTTAGACGTCAGAGCGGTGGGGCTAGGGACGAGCAAGGCAGTCAGCCAAATCTGGAGAAGAAAACAGGCAGAGGAAGAAAAGGCAAGTGAGGAAAAAGAGAGGAGGCGAAGGGGATGGCAGGGAGCCAATGTGACAAAGCCGAGGAGACATGGAAATCAGAAGGGCCATCCGTGCCCCTGCCCTGACACTGGGGACAGGGGCAGGGAATGGCCCCTGAGTGAGACACTGCAGCCAGCCATTCAAAGCAACAAAAATACATGAACACCAAAAAAGGGATCTGAAAGGATGCCAGATCAGACCGCCAGAGAGACCAGGCGTGCTTCCACCTTGGGGACCAGCCCTCATCTCATCCAAGGGGACTTGGCCAATCCCAACTCTTCGGCACCAGGGTGACCTGCAGCCAGCTGCTACCAGTGATGCTCAAAGTGGGCCAGCCCTCTGTGCCATCCTTCCTGTGCCTCTCAGCAATGCGGGCGGAACTCACTACAATCTGAGTTACCACCACACCTATTCCCCATCAGTTCAGGCACAAGGTGCAATAGTGAGGGTGCTGGCGAGTGAGTACGAGACCCCTGGTTGCTCAATGCCTGGTGGTGCCGAGTGGGAGGGAATAGAGAGGCCAGTGCCACCACCACCCACAGCATGAGGCAGCCGGGCACGGGTCCCGACGTAGCCAGTGAGCGGGATCTGACCTGTGAAGGCAGGAGGGAAATGAAGCGCTTCTCACGCCCTCTGCAATATTTTAAATCTAAGCTTCCAAGCAGGACCTAAATAAAGTGCTGTCAGTAGTGCCTATGTGACCCATACTCTACAGCCCAGATGGCCGGAGATTCATTAGAGTTTCTCAATGCTCGGCAGATTATAAAAAAAAAAAAAAGTATGGACAGAAAACTCCCACTGAGAGTTCAGGGCCCAGAGCAAGCCACATCTGTGCTCTGCCAAAGTCCCCACTTCTTGGAAATTCTACACAGTCGGTGTGAGGATGAAGTGAGCATCGGGCAGTGATAAAAGGAAAAGGAAGTCCACCCCGGGGCGTCTTTGGCACTGGGTCTGGAGGAGACTTTGCCTAAAACAGTCAGTTCTAATCCCTGCTCCTCTACCATTTGCCCCCCTCCATTCCAGGGGTTTCCACTCTGGGGTCCTTATCGTTTTGCATCTTTTTAATATTTTAAGACCATCTGAAGCCAATTTATCAAAGAGTACATATGACTTACTTTTGTATTTCTAATAATAATAATGTAGATTTGCCCCCAGGTTTATTAAAAATAGTTTTGCCTCTTATATCTGTTTTTGAATGTTAAAGTTTTTCTATCAGCTTATCTAAAATCCCTTGCTTAAAATGAGTTTAGTTCCAGCAATAAATACATGCTTCTCTATGCACTGTCTCATACTTTGACAATAGGTTTTTCTTCATTGTTATTCCTGTATGAATAAATAGCTTTAAAAAAAATAAGATACAAAAAAATCTGATTCCTGTCTCACTTGATCATTTTGCTGTTAAAAAAAAAAAAGTCTCCATCAAATAGAAACAAATATTTGGCATCACTTATTCAAATCAGTAAGAATAAACAGGGCTATGTGTACCCACAATGAGAAGGAAAAGCAAGATCGAAATCAAACCGCAAAAAAGGAGGGAGAATTCCATACGTCCGTATGAAATCATAGAGATATCACAAATAATTATTGCTAGGAACAGTATTTTAAACAAAGGGTCTTAGGTAAGTGCATTAAAACTGTCTTAAATACAAACAGCCCTACCACCAGTAAAATGCTGCAAATTTGATCGTAATTAAAATACAAAATTATACAGAAAATGCCCTTTGATAACTTGGTCTTAAAATTTTCTTGAGGTCCTAAAGGTAGGAGCTTTTAGGCAAATTGCCTGCCAGGTGTACGGATGGCTAGAACTGGTCTTAGGCAGAGTGATTTGTGCTGTGACCGGTTCACTCTGGGGTGCGGCCTGAACCAACACGGGTGGCTTTCTGGGGCCCCCGAGGATCCTGTCCCGCAGGAGAAAACGGGGCCCCGAGCGGCGAGGGCGAGCGGCGGGCGCCTCCTGCCCTGCGCGCCGCCACGTGCCCGCCCCGCGGCCGGCTCCCCGGGCGCAGCGCCCCCGCCGGCTCCCTCACGTCCTCTTCCTCCAGGGCGCCGCCCGCCTTCCCTTCTGCGCGGCGGCCACGCGCTGCTTCTCCGCCTCCTCCGCCTTCCTCTTCTCCTCCTTGGCCTCCTTGTACCTCCACTTGGGGAGCTGCAAGGTGGGCGCTGGTCCCTAGGCGCCGCCCTTCGCGAGCGCGCCGTCCGGGCTGAGAGGTGGGGCGGGGGCGCCTTGGTGACGCGCAACCGGGGGAACCAGCTCGGTCTGATCCGAAATTGCTCAGCATTCGCAGGGCAGTGGCAGTAGGGTGGCCCTTCCA